TTGCATAAAGTCATCAATACCACACTTTTATTAATGGAAAGCGCTAAACCAGTGTTGCTCATTTAGCTTTTAAAGCTAGTTAATGAAGATTACACAAGGTGGTGAACGTGAGACAACAAAGTTTGCCTATATTAACGAAATTCGGCAATGAACCTGAAGCAGATAATATAATTAATAGTCTCTGTTGAAGCCAGTCACAGACTATACTTACATATGTTAGACATTAAAGGAAGATTGGTGGTAGAACCATGCCATCTGCTTTCACTACAAACAGTAATATATCCTCCAAAAACACAATAATTGGGAGCCAATATTGATCAAAAGACCATAGGCCTAACTTCGGGGAAAATAATCAATACTAAACAAATACGAGTGAACGAATGAGGATGGCCAAAAAAGTACATGAATTCCAAACATGACACATTCCAGAGGAAATACGCAGATACTATCAACATATTATACTTCATTACACAGACATGTACATGAATGACAATTACTAATTATGTTTAGTGATTAGTTATACGAATCGCGCTAATGATGAACAGTAAACTGTCTATCCCAAGTATATTACAATGGGATAAGACTGGTTAGGGAGGTTGATACACAAGAAATACTTGTAATAAAAGCCGCCAACAAAGAAAAGAAGAAAAGAAAAGAAGAAAAGAAGAATAGAAGAAGAAGAAGAATAGAAGAAGAATAGAAGAAGAATAGAAGAAGAAGAATAGAAGAAGAATAAGAAGAATAGAAGAAGAATAGAAGAAGAAGAATAGAAGAAGAAGAATAGAAGAACAGAAGAAGAATAAGAAAAGAAGAAGAATAGAAGAAGAAGAATAGAAGAAGAAGAATAGAAGAAGAAGAATAGAAGAAGAAGAATAGAAGAAGAAGAATAGAAGAAGAATAGAGAAGAATAGAAGAATAGAAGAAGAAGAATAGAAGAAGAATAGAAGAACAATAGAAGAATAGAAGAACAGAAGAATAGAATAGAAGAAGAACAGAAGAATAGAAGAACAGAAGAAAATAGAAGAATAGAAGAAAACAGAAGAATAGAAGTAGAAGAAGAATAGAAGAAGAATAGAAGAATAGAAGACGAAGAAGAATAGAAAAAGAAGAATAGAAGAATAGAAGAGGAATAGAAGATGAATAGAAGAATAGAAGAGGAATAGAAGAATAGAAGAGGAATAGAAGAAAAGAATAAAGAAGAAAGAAAAGAAGATGCCAACAGCAGCAACAGCAGCCAACAGCAGCAGCAGCCAGCAGCAACAGTCAACATCGGCAGCAACAGCCAACAGCAGAACCAGCAGCAGCCAACAGCAGCAGCAGCAGCCAGCAGCAACAGTCAACATCGGCAGCAACAGCCAACAGCAGCAGCCAACAGCAGCAGCAGCCAACAACAGCAGCAGCCAACAACAGCAGCAGCAGCTAACAGCAGCCAACAGCAGCCAACAACAGCAGCAGCAGCTAACAGCAGCCAACAGCAGCAGCAGCAGCAGCAGCCACCAACAGCAGCCACCACCAACAGCAACAGCCAACAACAATAGCAGCAGCAGCCAACAACAGCAGCAGCAGCAAACAACAACAGCAGCAGCCAACAACAGCAGCCACCACCAACAGTAGCAGCAGCAGCCAACAACAGCAGCCGCAGCAGCCAACAGCAGCAGCAGCCGCAGCAGCCAACAGCAGCAGCAGCCACAGCAGCCAACAGCAGCAGCAGCCAACAACAGCAGCAGCCACAGCAGCCAACAACAGCAGCCGCAGTAGCCAACAACAGCAGCAGCATCAGCCTCAGCCTCAGCAGCCAACAGCAGCCGCAGCAGCCAACAACAGCAGCTGCAGCAGCCAACAACAGCAGCAGCAGCTGCAGCAGCCAACAACAGCAGCCGCAGCAGCCAACAACAGCAGCAGCAGCAGCAGCCAACAACAACAGCAGCCGCAGCAGCCAACAACAGCAGCAGCCGCAGCAGCCAACAACAGCAGCAGCCGCAGCAGCCAACAACAGCAGCAGCCGCAGCAGCCAACAACAGCAGCAGCCGCAGCAGCCAACAACAACAACCACAGCGGCCAACAACAGCAGCATCCAACAACAGCAGCAGCAGCAGCCAACAACAGCAGCAGCCAACAACAACAGCAGCCAACAACAACAGCCACAGCAGCCAACAACAGCAGCAGCAGCAGCCCACAACAGCAGCTGCAGCAGCCAACAGCAGCAGCAGCCAACAACAGCAGCAGCAGCCAACAACAGCAGCCGCAGCAGCCAACAGCAGCAGCAGCAGCCAACAACAGCAGCCAAGAGCAGCAGCAGCAGCCGCCGTCAACAACAGCAGCAACAGCCAACAACAGCAGCAGCAGCCAACAACAGCAGCCGCAGCCAACAGCAGCAGCCGCAGCAGCCAACAACAGCAGCAGCCGCAGCAGCCAACAACAGCAGCAGCCGCAGCAGCCAACAACAGCAGCAGCCGCAGCAGCCAACAACAGCAGCAGCCGCAGCAGCCAACAACAGCAGCAGCCGCAGCAGCAACAACAAGCAGCAGCCGCAGCAGCCCAACAGCAGAGCGCAGCAGCAACAGCAGCAGCCGCAGCAGCCAACAACAGCAGCAGCCGCAGCAGCCAACAACAGCAGCAGCAGCAGCCAACAACAGCAGCAGCCAACAACTGCAGCAGCAGCAGCAGCCAACAACTGCAGCAGCAGCAGCAGCCAACAACTGCAGCAGCAGCAGCCAACAACAGCAGCAGCAGCAGCCGCCGCCGCAGCGACCCCAATGGAAATAAGTCACTGTCTGACTTTTTTGGGTTATCCTAGGTTCTCTATGTATGATAATTCTATGTAACTGTATTTGTGTATACCTGAATAAACTTACTTACTAGCAGCCAACAACAACAACAGCAGCAGCCGCCGCAGCAGCCAACAACAACAGCAGCAGCCGCCAACAACAGCAGCAGCAGCCAACAACAACAGCAGCAGTAGCCGCCGCAGCAGCCAACAACAACAACAACAACAACAACAGCAGCAGCAGCCGCCGCCGCCAACAACAACAGCAGCAGCAGCAGCAGCCGCCGCAGCAGCCAACAACAACAGTAGCAGCAGCAGCAGCCGCCACAGCAGCCAACAACAGCAGCAGCAGCAGCAGCAGCCGCCGCCGCCGCCAACAACAGCAGCAGCAGCCAACAACAGCAGCAGCAGCCAACAACAACAACAGCAGCAGCCGCAGCAGCCAACAACAGCAGCAGCAGCAGCAGCCGCCGTAGCAGCCAACAACAGCAGCAGCAGCAGCAGCCAACAACAACAGCAGCAGCAGCAGCCAACAACAACAACAGCAGCAGCAGCAGCCAACAACAACAGCAGCAGCAGCCAACAACAACAGCAGCAGCAGCAGCCAACAACAACAACAGCAGCAGCCAACAACAACAGCAGCAGCCGCCGTAGCAGCCAACAACAGCAGCAGCAGCAGCTAACACAGCAGCAGCCAACAACAGCAGCAGCAGCAGCCAACAACAGCAGCAGCAGCAGCCAACAACAGCAGCAGCAGCAGCCAACAACAGCAGCAGCAGCAGCCAACAACAGCAGCAGCAGCAGCAGCCAACAACAGCAGCAGCAGCCAACAACAACAGCAGCAACAGCAGCCGCCGAAGCAGCCAACAACAGCAGCAGCAGCAGCCAACAACAACAACAACAGCAGCAGCAGCAGCCAACAACAACAGCAGCAGCAGCCGCCGCCGCAGCAGCCAACAACAGCAGCAGCAGCCGCCGCAGCAGCCAACAACAGCAGCAGCAGCAGCCAACAACAGCAGCAGCAGCAGCCAACAACAACAGCAGCAGCAGCAGCAGCCAACAACAACAGCAGCAGCAGCCGCCGCAGCAGCCAACAACAGCAGCAGCAGCAGCAGCAACAACCGCCGCAGCAGCCAACAACAGCAGCAGCAGCCGCCGCAGCAGCCAACAACAACAACAACAGCAGCAGCAGCAGCAGCCGCCGCCGCAGCAGCCAACAACAACAGCAGCAGCAGCAGCCGCCGCAGCAGCCAACAACAACAACAGCAGCAGCAGCCGCCGCCGCAGCAGCCAACAGCAGCAGCAGCAGCAGCCGCCGCAGCAGCCAACAACAGCAGCAGCAGCAGCCGCAGCAGCCAACAACAGCAGCAGCAGCCGCCGCAGCAGCCAACAACAGCAGCAGCAGCAGCAGCGCCGCAGCAGCCAACAACAGCAGCAACAGCAGCCGCCGCAGCAGCCAACAACAACAGCAGCAGCAGCAGCCGCCGCCGCCAACAGCAGCAGCAGCCAACAACAGCAGCAGCAGCAGCAGCAGCCGCCGCAGCAGCCAACAGCAGCAGCAGCAGCAGCAGCCGCCGCAGCAGCCAACAACAGCAGCAACAGCAGCCGCCGCAGCAGCCAACAACAGCAGCAGCAACAGCAGCCGCCGCAGCAGCCAACAACAGCAGCAGCCGCCGCAGCAGCCAACAACAGCAGCAGCAGCAGCCGCCGCAGCAGCCAACAACAGCAGCAGCAGCCAACAACAGCAGCAGCAGCCAACAACAGCAGCAACAGCAGCCAACAACAGCAGCAACAGCAGCCAACAACAACAGCAGCAGCAGCAGCCGCCGCCGCCAACAGCAGCTACACATGAAACATCACATTATGAACAAGTCCTTACATCATCCTTCTTACATCATAACTCTCAAATTTGAGTGTGACAGTGATTAAATCATTTACATGTATGATTGAGGATGAAGTATGTGTAAGTGTGAGTGTTGTTATTGTTGTGAGTAATGTTGAATGTTAGTGTTATGTGAGGCGGAGGTGAGGGTTGGCCGCCCTGGCATGCGTCATGCCACGCACCGCCGGACATACGATCAAAACTTTCAACCACACCTACACTAATTCTAGCTTAAATATTCACGCTATATATGTATTTACAACTGTAAGGAATCGTCCGTGTCATATTCAGGTGACAAGACAGTTATCATGGGTGGTTTACTAGTATGGTGTACAACAACAGTCTTCTCACCTCCTGTCGCCGCTTGGACCATCTTCCACACGGACTCTCCTCTAATATTTCACTTTCATCCTCACTGTCCTCGCCACTTTCTCTAGGCGACTTAGCTTCGGTCTCATTGCCATTCTTACTCCCCGTCATAATGAACGTGAGAGACTTAATAGGTTATTGGGCACAAATGAAGCACACACGGTACACTCAATACATGACGTACATCCTGTGCTGGTCGTCTACAAGTGAACACTGAAGCACCAACACTGGGCGTGCACCACCACCCCTGCTGCCACAACCTCCACACAAAACTATCGTACACATAACATATATCTCTCATTATTTGATTTTATTGCAGCATTTGTATTCTAACATTAATTGTGTATTACATATATGTAGGCGTGTCTCACTGTAGACGTCCTTTTGTATATGTGTGTCAGCATATGGAAGACTATTTAAGAACATAAGAAAGGAGGAACACTGCAGGAGGCCTGCTGGCCCATACTAGGCAGGTCCTTTACTAACAAAACATTTGCCCAACCCAATTTTCAATGCCACCCAAGAAACAAGCTCTGATGTGAAAGTTCCACTCAAATCCAACCCCTCCCACTCATGTACTTTTCCAACCTAAATTTGAAACTACCCAAAGTCCTAGCCTCAATAACCCAACTAGGTAGACTGTTCCACTCATCAACTACCCTATTTCCAAACCAATACTTTCCTATGTCCTTTCTAAATCTAAACTTATCTAATTTAAATCCATTACTGTGGGTTCTCTCTTGGAGAGACATCCTCAAGACCTTATTAATATCCCCTTTATTAATACCCATCTTCCACTTATACACTTCGATCAGGTCTCCCCTCATTCTTCGTCTAACAAGTGAATGTAACTTAAGAGTCTTCAATCTTTCTTCATAAGGAAGATTTCTAATGCTATGTATTAATTTAGTCATCCTACGCTGAATGTTTTCTAACGAATTTATGTCCATTCTGTAATATGGAGACCAGAACTGAGCTGCATAATCTAGGTGAGGCCTTACTAATGATGAATAAAGCTGCAGTATGATCTCTGGACTTCTGTTGCTTACACTTCTTGATATAAATCCCAGTAATCTATTTGCCTTATTACGTACGCTTAGGCATTGCTGTCTTGGTTTAAGGTTGCTGCTCACCATAACCCCCAAGTCCTTTTCGCAATCTGTATGGCTAAGTTCTACATCATTTAACTTATAAGTACTAGGGTTATGGGCACTCCCAAGCTTCAGAACCTTGCATTTATCTACATTGAACTGCATCTGCCACTTTTCTGACCAAGAATAGAGTTTGTTTAAATCCTCCTGAAGTTCCATAACATCTTCGTTTGAGTCAATTATCCTACCTAACTTTGTGTCATCGGCGAATTTGCTCATATCACTAGTAATTCCCTCATCAAGATCATTGATATATATTATAAACAACAACGGGCCCAAGACTGATCCCTGTGGAACGCCACTTGTTACAGATCCCCACTCGGATTTAACCCCATTTATGGATGAATGGTTCAGAGAACCGACATGTTGATAAATTAGACACATGTGCAACTCTTGGGTATCTTTATTGAGGAAACGTTTCGCCACACAGTGGCTTCATCAGTCCATACGTAGGAGAAACTTGAAGAACAGGAGGAGAATGAGGTAATCAGTCCCTCAACCTTGAGTCGATGTGTTCAGTCCATCAATATTGAATAGAATATTCAAGATTGATGGACTGAACACATCGACTCAAGGTTGAGGGACTGATTACCTCATTCTCCTCCTGTTCTTCAAGTTTCTCCTACGTATGGACTGATGAAGCCACTGTGTGGTGAAACGTTTCCTCAATAAAGATACTCAAGAGTTGCACATGTGTCTAATTTATCAACCCCATTTATGGACACTCTCTGCTTCCTGTCAGTGAGCCATGACTCGATCCACGAGAGCACTTTTCCCCCAATGCCATGAGCTGCCACTTTCTTTAACAGTCTATGGTGCGGAACTCTATCAAAAGCCTTACTAAAATCCAAGTAAATAATATCAAATTCTTTATCGTGGTCAACAGCCTCAAAAGCTTTACTGAAGAAAGTTTATAAATTAGTTAGACAAGACTGGCCTCTTGTGAATCCATGCTGAGTATCATTAATCAAGCTATGCTTATCGAGATGGCTTCTTATAATCTCAGCTATAATTGACTCTAGTAATTTGCCTACAATTGAGGTCAGGCTTATTGGGCGGTAATTTGACGGTAACGACTTGTCCCCTGTTTTAAAAATAGGAATTACATTAGCCATCTTCCACATATCAGACACTACACCTGTTTGAAGAGATAAATTAAAAATATTAGTTAATGGTTCACAGAGTTCCATTTGCATTCCTTAAGAACCCTTGAAAAAACCTCATCAGGACCCGGCGACTTATTTTGCTTCAGTCTGTCTATCTGCTTCACAACCATTTCACTAGTGACTGTGATGTTACATAATTTATCCTCTACTAGCCCACTATAAAAATTAATTACTGGAATATTGTTAGTGTCTTCCTGTGTAAAAACTGAGAGAAAATAATTATTAAAAATCGAGCACATTTCATTCTCTTTGTCAGTAAGGTGCCCATAGTTATTTTTAAGGGGACCTATCTTATCTCTAACTTTTGTTCTATAGACCTGGAAAAAACTTTTTGGGTTAGTTTTAGAATCCCTAGCAACTTTAATTTCATAGTCCCTTTTAGCTTTTCTTATCCCCTTTTTAATGTCCCTCTTAATGTCAATATACTGATTCATAAGATGACCCTCACCTCTTTTGATACGCCTATAAATTCCTTTCTTATGCCCTAGTAGATATTTGAGCCTATTATTCATCCATTTTGGGTCATTTCTATTTGATCTAATTTCTTTACATGGGATAAACGTTCTTTGAGCAGTATGTATAGTGTTCAGAAAACTGTCATATTGATAGCTCACTTCGTTACCCCAGTCAACAGATGATAAGTGTTCTCTAAGCCCATCGTAATCTGCTAAGCGAAAATCTGGGACTGTTACTGAGTTATCGCTACTATCGTACTTCCATTCAATGCACGCATGAACAAAGATCACTTACTACTCTCAGGTGACTTCAATATAAATCTCCTGCAAGACCAGGACCCACACGTTACTGAATTCACAAACACAATGAGTAACTGCATGTTGCTACCAACAGTAACAAAACCTACAAGAGTTACAGAGACTAGTGTTTCCCTATTTGACCACATCTGGACCAACACCATATCCCCTTTAAAATCAGGCATAATTACAGATAATACCACAGACCACTACCCTACTTTCCTCATAACAACTCTTGGTAAAATACCCCAAGACACTACTAAAGTCACCTTCAGACTTCACAATGAGGCAGCCATTAATAACTTCACAACAGCAGTAACAAACATTGACTGGCACACTGAGTTAGAAATCTATACAGATATTGACGAATGTTTTAATAATTTTTCTAAAAAAGACCCAATACCTTTATAACAAGCACTGCCCTAAAAAAACTAAACAGATGACAGCTAAGAGACTGAACAGTCCCTGGCTAACACCCAGCATTCTCAAATCCATAAATACAAAACACCGATATGAAAAACAGTACAGAATGGGTCACATAACCAGAGACCAAACAAAATGTTACTCGTCAATCCTAACCAGCCTGATAAGAAGGGCAAAAAAATTGTATTATGAGAACAGATTATCCAACTTACGAGGTGATATAAAAAAGACCTGGAAGACCCTATCAGAAATTCTGGGAACAAAAAAGATATCACGACATAGCAAAATAAAATTAGCAAAATCAGATGAACCCCAACTCCCACCAACAGAAACAGCAAACAGACTCAATGATTTCTTCTCCACTATAGGTCAAAACCTTGCCAATAAAATCCCAAGCTCAGATACCCCACCAAATGACTACCTCACTGGCAACTACCCGAACACACTGTTCCTAGCTCCGACTAACCCATACGAAGTCTCCCTTATTATCAACGCACTGAAAAACAAGGCAGGAGATTTAAATACCTTACCACCCTTTTATAACAAAAAAGTGTCACAAGTACTATCACCAATCATTGACATTCGCTGCCTGACTACGGTGGAGTGAGGTTGTGCTCAGCACCCCTCTGCTGTTTTTCAGGCGAGCTACCCCAGTACATCAACAAACCATTGAGTAGTGTGGACGTGCGCAGCTATTTTGGGATTCAAAATGCTGAACATACAGTACGGAGAGTAAATACTACTCTGCTAGCGTGTTTTGTATCCCCCCCCCCCCAATATATTATTTTTGTTCTGGTAAGTTAAGTGGAGATAGCGATGAACGTACTTCTCCCTAACCATCTTCAGGGACAAATACTGGTATCCCCAACGAGGAATTATTTGGCGTCGCTCTTAAATGGTTTGACAAGAATCTTCGTGAAATTTCCTGGGAGAGCCGGCTATCTACACAAGAATTGACGTGCAGTACCAGGAACAAACGCCATGAGTGTGAATTCAGCGAGGATTGTGTTTCATGATGTTTCTAAGTACTTCACATGGTTGAAGGTACGGAATGTACCTTCGAGGCTACGGCGTATGGACTCAGGAGTTTTTTCGCTGTTATGGGACAGTGCTTCTGCAACAAGGGGTATGGAGGTTGATGGTTCCGTATGAAGGAATTTTGCCGGAAGGTTCTTACACCCTTTAAAATGTCTTTAACACGGCAATTACCATCCTATGTAACGATGACCGGTTGTAGAACACAGGTTTCTGTGTCCTATGAGGGTCAGAGAAAAACATATCATCTGTGCAGCTTTATGAGCACATGGCAGCAGTGTCCTAGGAAGCGGGCTCCTCGAATTCGAAACGCCGATTGGGATACAAACACGTTCGTGTGATATCGGTGCCTGGCGTATGTGGTCGGGAGGCCATCTCTGGAGCGTGGAGGGTCGACGGGATGGTGGCGGAGGAGGTGCCGTGTGTCACTATCCCAGGGAGTCGGGGGAGGTCGAAGGTGTAATTGAGGAGTCTTTAGTCCAGGAGGCTTCGGACTCAGGAGGGTTTACTGGCGATGTCATCCAAGGATTTTTGGATGGCGAAGAGTCGGAGCATCAGTTTAACCTCAGTTTAAGTGAGTTGGAGGTGAGTGACAACAAATTGTGGCGGAAAGAAAGAGTTAAGAACCGGCAGGTAGCGTGTGGAGGATTATTTACCCCTTATTCAACGAATAGTTATCTATTTGATACATATTAAT